CTTTTATATATATATATATATATATATATATATATATATATATATATATATAAATTTTAATTATCATGAGTTCTTCGTGCTTACAAATATCAATACTTTATATATATATATATATATATATATATATATATATATATATATATATATATATATATATATATATATATATATATATATATTCGGTGCGGTTCGATTTTTTGTAGTTTTTGCAAGACTAGAAGCCGCACCGCACCGAACATTTTTGGGTTTTGCAAAACTAAAAACCGCACCGTCGGCTTCATTTCGGTTGCGGTTTTTTGGTTTCGGTTTATACAGTTTTTTCGGTTTGCGGTTCGGTTTTTGTTCACCCCTTAGTTAAAAACTCCTACTATTTAACAAACTTTTTGTTCGAGTTTCTTCTTAAAAGCTAGAAGCTTAAAAGCTACATGTCGAACACGTCCTTAATATTATTTATATATTTGATTACACATATAGCCTCATAACCTTGTCTGAAAAAAGGGTTTAGGAACGATAAATACAAAATTTACTTCAAATTTTCATGAAACCACATTACTACTAATACAAGAACATCACAAACTTGTTTCTAGAATATAGATAATGCCAATATTTTGTATTCTATGTGCAGGCCTGTGAATACGAGAAAGCTAAATGGCATGGTGACACGAATGCAGTGGCGGACCCTCTTAGTGGCCAGAGGGGGTCATGGCATCCCTGCTTTGAAGGCTTCTTGTACATCTATATATAATCACATTATAGAATAATTACTAGAATAGCAAATTAACCCCTAGGTTTCTAGATTGTGGAATATATGATATATATTTAATTTATGCAATTTAGTTATTAACTAAAACACTAAATGAACAATAACCAAATTTCAGAAAATTTGTGAACAAATCAAAACCATCATTTTTTTTAGGAATCTTCAAATAACAAACTATATATGACTACCAAAATCTATAAAAAAAAAAAAAAAAAAAAAAAAAAAATCCAAAGATCTAATCAAAATTATACTCTAGCTTTGAGATTAAGAAAGCTTTAAACCCCAAAAAATTATTCAGTCCGTCCAAAAAAAACTTCTTCAAACTCACTGAAAGAACAACATTGTTGTCGCCTTCAAAATGCTCTTTCGGTCTCCGAATTTTTTTGCAACATCTCCTCTTGACAGATCACTAGAGACTGGGCTGGTCTATTTTGATCTCTACTCTACACTCAGCCCGCTTCTGCTCTCCATCTCAAGACATTTCTCAGCCGGTCGTCGGAGCCCGACTTTTAGTTTGTAAGTACTCTCTCCGGCTTTCTCATTCTTTTTCTCTCTATTTCATTCTTTTTCAAAATTTCTCTCTCTAATCTGTTAAATATTGTTGTTATTGTCAAACTTGTCATTTGAGATTGTGCAGGGTTAATATTGCAAATTAGTAAAGATTTGTCGGGTCAACACGCGGATCTTTGTATCCGGTTACCCGGGGTTATAAAGTTGGAAGACGGGGTACTGTTAAAGTGTGTGTGAAAGTTCTATCTCATTTTCTCTCTAAGCTCTCTAAGATCCTCTCAGTTCTTGATTAGGGTTTTATGTGTTCTTTATCTGTTCTTCGTCTTTCTTTATTTTCTGATTAATGAATAGATTAGGATGAGTGATTATGTAAGAGAGTAGAGTAGGATTTATGTAGTGAGGTTTTGTTGTAAGTAATGAAAACCATCTGTCTATTTGTCCTAAAATGATATAATAGATGATGATGTTGGGAAGATGAGTTTCTAAGTTTTTTACATAGTTGTAGCCGGGTACCATCTAAAAGAGCAAAATTGGAATTGAAAGAGAGTTTTTTTGGGAATAGAAAATATAAAAGAAGAATTGAAGACACTACACACTCATAAAGCTGACACTGGTTACTTTATTAAATTAAAATGTGTATCTTTTATTTATAAATCTACTGCTTGTTGAATATTTGTATAAATCGGTTTGTCATTTGAAATATTTTGTTGTGGTTATTTGCAATTGTAAAGTATAGATAAAAATTTTGAAACACTAAAGTAATCCCAAAGATTATATATATATATATATATATATATATATATATATATATATATATATATATATATATATATATATATATATATATATAAAATGAAACTTTGCCAAAAATAATTAGTTTATAGAAGTTTTTGTTTAAACTTTTGATATGTATAGTTTTGAATCAAATAAAATTCGTTAATTTTCATTTTGAAGTTTTGAATTCGGCCCCTCTAGTTTTTATGGTTGTGTTCCGCCCCTACACGAATGGAGTCAAATAAATGATGTCATTAGTGGTTAACCAAAGATGCATACTAGCTATTTCGTCAGAATTTTGTTACAATGGTATATCATTTCTTAATCCCATCATATTTTTGTAACACCGTAAATTTTCAAAACAATTTTTTTCGCATTATAAAAACATAATTCATTTGCAAATCATAAAAACAAAACATCATTGTTTGAAACTCAATGTATAACATATAACAATATCCCAAGATCTCGTATCATAAAATCCCGTGTGTGTACTGATCAAGCCAGCGCCTTCCTGCGATCCTCACTAGTACCTGAAACACATAACACAAAACACTGTAAGCACAAAGCTTAGTGAGTTCCCCAAAATACCACATATAACACATATTAGCCACTCGAGGCTATAACTCTGTAGGTCCGTGCACCCAAACTCTGTGAACCCTCAGGTTCTAACTCTGCAAGCATGCACAACATAAATCACATAGAAGAATGCAGTACAACAAACAATATATATAAAGCATTGTATCACATAACTCTATTTACCTACTCAAGGTAAAGTATAGTGAGAAGACTCACCTCGCGTATCTCGGTAACTCGTAAATCCCTGAAATCACTAGTGCTCGATCTCCCGAGCTATAGTCCTCCTATAACACAATACATCTCTAATTAACACTTCCTAATTAAGGTTGACTAACTCTATCAAGTCAACACCGGTCAACTCTGGTCAATGGTCAATGGTCAACCTCGACTCACCGAGTCTGGCGTGGACTCGCCGAGTCCCTACGAGGACCCCATAACCTCTGAGTCCCTTCCGACTCACCGAGTCACTCACCTAACTCGGTTACTCAACCCCTGGTTCGAAATCTATGAACAACCTGCACCAACTCGTCGAGTCTGCCAATGGACTCGACGAGTGCATTCCATGCACAACCCCAAACGACCTTCTGAGGTCAGATCTGTTCCACTAACTCATATATCCAGTCCTTCCAAGCTTATTTACCACGTAAAGTTCATGTCTTAGCTCTCATATCACACCTAATGACTCATAAATGGTGTTTTGACCTTAAACACAACGATCCCAAACCAAAACCTCCATGGATTCATAAAAAGCTTGGACAAAGGGACACTTTGGACCTCCAAGGGTCCAGATCCAGAACCTAACTCGTTTATGGGACCAAATGGGCACTAGATCTAGCCACAAAAGGGCTCAACAAACCCTAAATCAACATGAACATCACCTCAACAGAAAAGGGTTCGAAAATGGTACCTCAAATGTGATGTTCTGGACCTCAAATCTTCAGGAAGTTGTTCCTCTTGGCTAAAACTTCCTTTCCCTTGCTAAATAACACCTCCAATGGTTGATAATGGCTCCTTCTCTCACTCCACACGCTCAAATGCACTAGGGTTTTGCTCTGGGGGCTGGTGAGCACAAATGACGGCCATAAGGCCCTTTAAATAGGCCCCAAACTCGAGAAATTAGGGTTTCATTAAACAGCGTTGACTCGCCGAGTCCACCATTGCGACTCGTCGAGTCCGATCATTAATCCGGATGAGAAATCGCTTCTCTACTCGGCGAGTCTACGCACCAACTCGCCGAGTTCTTCCTCAAAACTCAAAATAAAACAATAAATATAATACCTGAATTTTCCGGATGTTACAATTTTATTATGTCATATATAATAATACATATCTTCATCCAAAAAGTACAACAGAATGACCAATCGGATGATAGTTTAGTTATACTCTGTTGGTCCTGAATCGGTTGAATTATACCATAAGTAAATACAAGCTGTTCTATTTAGACATATTGTTCAGAAACTTTGGAAATACCATCCAATGTTTTATGAATAGAAAATAGAGAAATCTCCAATAAAGCTTAATGGGTCAGTTTACGGTTTAATCTCAACATTTTTTTTGGGAGAATTTCATATATGCCCTTCCTAAACATCAAAATATCATATTTACCCAACTTAATTTCTAAATATCATATTTACCCTTTATAAAATTTCTAAATATCATATTTATCCTTCATAAAATTTCAAAATATCATATAGGTCCTTTTTAAACATCAAAATATCATATATACCCTTCTTAAATATCAAAATATCGTATATGTACATTTTAAACATCAAAATATCAATGATAATATCTAAAATAACCTCTATTTACAACATGATAATAATCAACAACAACAAAAACTAGACAATCAAAATATATATTCTATATAGAGGGTTGAAGATGAATTTTTTTTGTTTGTCCAGAGGGCGACATTCCAATAATTTAGAAGTCCACATTCCATTATCATAGACGTAAGGATCATATGGTTAATATTTTTAATTATTATAATAATTGTAAGGTATAAAGAACAATTATAAAATATTAAAAACATTATAAAAAGGATTTGGGCAAATATGATATTTTGAAGGTTTGTGAAGGGTAAATATGATATTGAGAAATTAAGCTGGGTAAATATGATATTTTGAAGTTTAGGAGGGGTATATATGAAATTCTCCCATTTTTGTTTAATAGAAAAGTATAGATTATCTATTTTATAAAACAATCTATTGAAAAAATAACTCTTTCGTTAATTTGAACAAAATATAAAATAATCAGAAACTGTAAATATCCAAAATATTAGAACTTTATTGAAAATTTTCCTAAAAAAATATTCAAACTTGAAAATGATGTGAATGACAAACTCAACTGGTCAAGTAAAAAAAATAGACACAAGTCAAAATCATCTAATTATAAGGACATTAAGAACACTTGATGCCGAATGAAGTAAGCCTTTGGACACATGCAAAATGCTAGTTTTGCCTCATAATCAAGCAATTTAAGTCTTTGTAGCATTTTATGACAAATATGGAAATGTTAACATTTTGGGTGAAAATACAAGGAAAACTTTGCCGCAATCTCTTATCCGTCTTATATATGACATCCATTCTCCATCGTTTCGTATTTTGTAGTTTTAGAGTTTATCTTTATTTGTATATAATTTTAAATAGTTTTATACATACATTATTTTTAAGATTTTTAAGCTACAAAAAGAATTTAATCCGGTCATCACCCCTCATAGCATTGTATACCGCTCGAACCTGGAAACAATATGAATTTTAGTTAGTGTTTCTATTCAATTAAATATGATTGGAATCAGAGGAAGAATAGAATGCTCGTTCCATTCGAATGAAAAAAGCTTATTGTTTTCTTTGATGGAATAAACAAACCACTCCTAAATGAATTTTGTTTTTGTTTTTTTAATTTTTATTGCTTAGCAAAGAGGTTTTATTTATTTATTTTAGTTTAATGGAATTGAATGTAAAATTGTAATATAATCCACTTTCATTTATATAATTTTTCATGACGAATTAAATTAAAACTTTATTTTTTAAAATAAATTAGAGTTAAAATCATACTTGCATAGATTCTAGAAGATTCATTCTATCTCTAGAAAATAGGAATGATTATCGAATATAATGACATATTGCATTACCTTGTTATAAGTATTTGAAGTTTGGTATGTGTTTCAACCAAAAAATATATACAGAAATAAAAAAAATTGAACCTGTTCTCTAGAAACGACTTGAATGGGTCCAATACTAACTGAAACATATTTTCCTCCTGATGACACTCTCTGCTTCACATGCTCCTGTTGGATAAGTTTCTTGTGATTATTGTAACTTGAATCAAAATTATATAACCAAATTAGTAGACTCATGGGCAACTTAAATTTATCTCAATAATCAAATTTTGTTTCATCCACTTCTTACATGTTTCTTCAAATATAACTACTTTGACTCTAAGAAATCAGAAAATCAAAATTATAACAAGTTTTTATCTTGTTTACCTGTTGAACTGGATGTTGAATGACCGACTCCACAGCAAGTATCATAGATTGCACAAAATCATTGCCTCCAATACCAATTGCTGTAAACCGTCGGACACTTGGGTAAGTGTCTAACTGTCATGTTAATACATAAAAACCACATACGTTAAATCTTTTAAACGTCATTCAATACACCAAATGGGAAGTGAAAATTGGCCGTTTACTCGATGATTTTCTTGATGCAAACATATTATGGCTTCTTTTCAAATGTTACACTTAGATTTTGACCCATACGAGTTAATATAGACCCATCATATTTGGATCGTCATGATGACTTGGGTGACAATTGACAAAAGAAGTTGAAAAGTATCCACTTTTTCTCATGTTATGAGAACCTACGGAATTTAAAATTATGAGAACACCTAAATGGAAATGTGCATACGACTTGATAATATGCTATATACAAAAGCAATAGTACATCATCTGAATGAGCCACATTTTCGTGTATGCTTTTTGTTGATGAAATTTTTTTGGTGGTAGAACTGGATGTTATGTTGGATATGTATAGGACAATGTTGGAATAAAAAGCGTTACGCGTTAAACCAAAATAAATATATCTAGTGCAATTTCAGCGAGGAGTGCAATGACAAGGGAGTAGAAGTTTGCATTGGGGAGCAAGTCTTGCTCTTAAACCCAAAGGAGAGTTATAACTTGGGGTCTATGATCCATAACAAAAGGATGCAGAGGACGACGTACCTATTACGTACCTATTACATATCACATATATTAGGGGAAAAGTCAACATGCTTATAAGATGTATGTAGCTGAAGTGGAACTCCAAAAAGGACAAACCGTTAGTGAAAAAACAGTAACAATCAATACCTTTTGGCTAAGAGTGAGCCACTCACCGCTCGAGCCATCAATTACCGTATCTCCAAAAATCATATTTGTGGTTTGTCCAGCTCTACCTTTGGTCCGCGAACGGTCTAAATCAAGTCAATAGTTATATGTACTTAGTAACTCTTACCTAACATGGAATACTATTGCATTTGATAGAATTAACATGATCTTGTTTATTTTCATTTAGGTTATGTTTGATGGATTATTTGAAAAACTATATGATAGTTAAAAAGTTAGCTAAAGTGATGTTTGGTAAAACCAATAATTTAGCTAGTTTAAATATGTAAAATGATAGAGAAATGTAAGTAAAAGATTAAGTTTTTTTTAATAATAATTAATAAAACATATATATATATATATATATATATATATATATATATATATATATATATATATATATATATATATATATATATCATTTTAGTCTATACATTTTTTTAAAGTTAGTTTATAAATTATTTTTTTAATGTAACCAACATCAAACATAGAAAATCTAAATAAGTTTAAAGAAAAACCTAATAGTGTCATACAAAACAACTATCTTAATCCGCGCCCCAATTGAGTTCATTTAAAAAGAAGCATTTCTATGGTATGTGATTCTCGGCATGTAGGTACCGATTAAGATTGTAGGTAATTAACAATGAACCACCAAATTAGTTTACCCATTTCTTAAAGTGAAATTGTCAGAAAAATCTTAATATTTACGAAAAAGTTACACATTAATCCTAATTTTTTTTTTTAAATGAAAAAGCCTGAAAACCGGCAAAAGTTTGCATTTTGACTTTTTTTGACTGGTTGAAAGCGATACCAAATTAATTTGGGACTATTTCGTAAACCAACTCAAAATATTGAGATTTTTCTATAAACAAAAATATTATGACTTTTCTGCAAACAAAACTATTATTATTATTATTATTATTATTATTATTATTATTATTATTATTAAAATATAAATAAGAATACTATTTTTTGAACTTGTTATTATTAATATTGTTAATAATACATATAAATGTATTTAACTGAAGAAATAATATCAGTAACATTATTTAAGGGTGAAGTTGGAGGAGATGGTGATGTTTTTAACATTGAAATCATGAATATGTGCTTGTATATTTTTTACTTTGTATATCGTCATTTCACATTTGTTATAATTTTTTTCAATTTAGAACATTAATACTTAACAATTTAAAAGAATTTGCATATTTGTAAAATTGTTTATAAATAGTTTAAGATATAAGGATTTCTCACTTTGTATATAGAATTATTTAAGGTAGAAGGATTACTTTCCAAATCCAACAAATCCACTACAAACATCTACATAGGTAGCACATATCAAAATTCAAAAATATTAATTACAATATCTTGTTTAATAAAAAATAAATACTTTTTAATTTTTATTAAACAAGATATTATAATTAATATTTTATTACTTTTTATTAAACAAGATATTGTAATTAATATTTTTGAATTTTGATATGAGCTACCTATGTAGATGTGTGTTGTGGATTTGTTGGATTTAAAAAACAATTTTTCTATCTTAAAACAATTTTATATACAAAGTGAAAAATCTTTCTACCTTAAACTATTTATAAACAATTTTACAAATATGCAACTTCTTTTAAATGGTTAAGTATTAATATTCTGAATTGACCATATACAAAGTAAAAATATTAAACACATCACCATCTCCTCCACCTCTATCCATAAACAATGTCATTAAATATTATTCTTTCATTTAAATGCATTTATATGTATTATTAACTATATTAATAATAACAAGTTTTAAAAATAGTCTTCATATTTATATTTTTAATAATAATAATAATAATAATAATAATAATAATAATAATAATAATTATTATTATTATTATTATTATAATTATAATAATAATAAGGGTTTTGTTTGCAGAAAAGTAATAATATTTTTGTTTACAGAAAAGCCCTAATATTTTAGATTAGTTTACGAAATAGTCCCAAATTTATTTGGTATCGGTTTCAACAAGTGGAAAAATATTAAAATGCAAATTTTTACCGGTTTTCAAGATTTTTTCATTCATAAAAAAAAAAAAAAAAAAAAAAAAAAAAAAAAAAATCTTAAAATGTAACTTTTCCCTTCTCAAAACTACAACTACCAAATTTATTAAGCTTCTAAAGCATATGTTTCCTTGCAAATTATAAATAACAGGCATATAATTATTCACTTGATATTGTTAGGTTCATAATCTCACAGCCAAAAAACATGTAATTCGAACACGAATTGAAGAATATGATTGATATGTTGAAATGATAAAATTAGGGATAAAGACCTGAAATAATCTCGAGATCAGTTTCTTGAGGCGGTTCCTGAGTATTCTCACTAACCATTGACGACGACGACGATATATTTTCATTATTTAAACAATTAAAATGGCGATCAAGATCAATACGTCTTTCTGAGCAGAAATCTTTAATGTTCGTAATGATCTTACACTCACATCTCGAACGCAAAATGGGTGTTTGATAATTCTGCTGGCGAAAGGAAGTACGATTAACGGATGTTGGCCATAGCCCCTTCAGAACCACACCATGGATTACTGCTCTATGCGCCATTTTCTATCGATTTTTCTAAAAATCTGAATTCTAATCGAAGTTTTTCCAACATGTTATGCTAATTTCCGCGCCAAAGACCGGAGGAGAGACTTTGCAGGAAGTTTGTTTTTGTGTAATCAACAGTTGTGATATGACAAAATTACCCTTTACGTTGCCGGGGTAAAATTGGAAATATGCAGTTGAAGTTATCAGCAGCTATGAACGCGTCTTTTTTTTTTTCCTCTTCAAATAAAACTTTCTTCCCCAAAACCCTTGTCGATCGCCATAACATCTCTCACCGGTGAATGCTTCGACTCAGGTGAGAACCTTGACGCCGACCACCGCTCGCATACTTCGCTGGACTTCTCCTCTGCTCAGCAACGTCACCAGATTTCTCCTCTGCTCTGCAATCGCTCACGCCCGTCGTCGCCGCCTGTCACGCCCACCGTCGCCGTCTCCGCCTGTTACGCCCGCTTTCGTTGTCTCCTTCGCTCACCACATCTTCACCATCGTCACCGACCTCTGCTGCCAACGGTAAGAACAGTTTTCCTAAAAAAAGATGTTATCTTTTAGGGTTTGTTATAGTTGCTGGTAATCAGATGTTATTTTTGGTGAAATCAGATTAGTTTGCTGAAACACGAAAATCATATGTACATTTGCTGAAAATCGTATTTGTTTGCTGAAATCAGATGTTCATAGGTGCTGGAAATCAGATTTGTTTGCTGAAAATGTATATACTTTGCTGAAATATGAAAAATGTTGCTCAATTTGTTGAAATTAGTTGTTATTGTTGCTGGAAATCTTTTTTTTTTTTTTTTTTTTTTACTGAAACTAGTTATTGTTGCTGGAATAGTATTCACATCTGATGTTTTAGTGCTTTAATTCATATATTTCGTAGTTCATTGAAATACATAGCGAACGAGTTATATCTGTTTTTTTTTTTTTTTTGGTATAATATGTGAAATTTGTGTGATGAATGATTCTTGGACCATTTAGAAAATTGATTTTAGCTGTTTTAAACTTGTACAAATATGGTTTGATCTATTTATCAACCATTATGTTATTATGTTATATATTATGTTATATATCATAACTAATAATGTATATTAGTTGCCTTTTCTTTGCTAAAAGAATTGCAACTTTGTTTTGAAGTTGTTTTAATGATTTTTTTAAAAATATATTATTTGTGGTTGATTCAAACTCTTAGGATACATCAAATGTATGGATCTGATGGCGTAAACGAAGATTCAGAGAGAACTGCCTTTCGAAAAACTGAGAAAAAGTACAAACTATATTATGATAATAACAAATCTTCCAAAAAGTAAGAAATTCATTCATTAATTTGTATTGTATAGTTGATTTGAAGTTTGACGTTTGAAGTTGTAAAGTAAATGGTTTGTTTAATTTCAGGAAGAAGAAAGCGAGGCCTGTAGATTTGTCAGAGGTTATCGATTTTAAGTCTGTTTCAGAGTCCTTTACTAGAAACAATGATGTTCATCTTCCTATTGGAGTTTCAAAGCTTGAATGTCAGTTTGCTAGGCCAGTTTTCAGTTTGGATAAATGCCCTGGTATGCAATCATTATTTATTTATCTCTTATGGTTATGTTATGTGGTTAATTTAATTTGTTTATAGTACATATAGTTGATAGTTGATAATGATGTGTGTTCTCAACTGCAGGTTTCTATTTCATTCCTGAAGCATTGAGTATTGAGGAACAATGCAGATGGATTAAGGAGAGCTTAGTGAGTTTTCCTGAACCTCCAAACAGAACTAATCACAATGCTGTTCATGGAGCCATACATGATCTGTTCAATGCTGCAAAAGATAGCAAAGTGTTGGTTGAAGAGGAAAAGATAATATTACCTGGTGAAGAAGATGCTCATACTCATAAATGGGAATGGGCTACTTGTGATGAACCAAGTGGAAATACAAATACTAGTAAATCAATATCAGCATCTGTCTTGCTAAGGAAACTGAGATGGAGTACTCTTGGTCTCCAATTTGACTGGTCAAAGGTCTGCCTTTTATTCACAACATACAGACTATTTACTTGTAGAGCAGACTCTATAGTATACATTGATAATTTATGGTAAAAAAATTTTATGTTTTCATGTAGAGGAGTTATAATGTTTCACTCCCTCACAACAAGATCCCGGATGCTCTTTGTGAAGTTGCTAAGAAAATGGCTTCTCCTGCTATGCCAGTTGGAGAAGAATTTCAACCAGAAGCTGCTATTGTTAATTACTTTGCTTCAGGTACTAATTCTATTTGCTATTTGCAATTTGCATACTAATATCTTTATACATTTTAATTTTTGAAGATTCTTAATGTCGAAAGTCTTTAGTTAGATCAAGTGGAAATGTCACTAAATAGTAAAAAGTTTCATACCACTTTCAATTAGGTCACTTTTTTTCAGAAGAATGGAGCAAAAAGGATATATATATATATATATATATATATATATATATATATATATTAACTTAGTGATTTTATAGGTGATATGTTGGGTGGTCACCTTGATGACATGGAGGCAGATTGGAGCAAACCTATAGTAAGCATGAGGTAGGTATATGTACATTGCATCATAATTTTATTTAAATATATAATAGGAGCTGACATGGACAGTTTGATTTATTAATGAAGTTTGGGATGCAAAGCAATTTTTCTTCTTGGAGGGAAGTCCAGAAATGATGAACCGTTAGCTATGTTTCTGCGCAGTGGTGATATTGTTCTTATGGCTGGAGAAGCAAGGGAGCGTTTTCATGGTCACTACATAAACTGAACTATTTTTATTTTCTCTGATGGAATGGCATGAAAAATTAATTTTTTTATCCTCAAAAGATATAAATGGAAAATCTATGTTTTATTATAAATCTGTTTGGGTTTTATTGTGTTCCATTCCATTCCATCCCATCCAACCAAACATACCATTTATCTTCTTGAGTGATAATTTGTGATTGTTTTGCAGGGATACCTCGGATTTTTACCGATACAGAAAATGCAGAGATCGATTGTTTAGAAAACCATTTCTCAGGTGAAGATGATACTTGTTATTTGGAATACATTAAAACCTCAAGAATTAACATTAATATCAGACAAGTGTACTGAATTATTTCTTAGTATATTTTTCCTGAAATTTGATTCAACACTAATGTGTGGATTTCCTGTTCTCTCAATTTTCTACCAACACTAAGGGCTTACTTTTTTTAGACTTGATGAACTTTAATGGGTTAAGCACTTAAGCTAAACTGTACAACAATCGATGATTGTTTCTTCTTGACTCTTGAGTTCGTTTGTACAATACACGGTTGTTTCTTTTTACTTGTCTCTATTGTTCGTTAGTTTGCATAATAATCATAGAAGTCAATGGAAATGAGAACAAAAATCTTTTTACATTTGCATTGAGCATGTGTCCCTAGTCTTTGGTGTGAAAAGAAAAACTTGTACAACTCATTTGATGCTTAATTTGTTCAGTGTATCATTATGACAAATAGATCGACTGTACACAAAAAAAGTTACTTCAACTGCCTTTTTTTTTTTTTTTTTTTTTTTTTTTTTTTTTTTTTTATATGTTTTGTTTCTATACAAATATTAGCTTATTTACTTTTCTTTATTTTAATGCTTTTCGGAAGATGTTTTTTAATATATTTTTAAAATTCTATAGAAACAAATATTTGTTCCTAAAGGTTTTTTTTAGCCACTATGGAAGAACTAAAATTCATTTCTATATTGTAAACGAGCAAAGCTACTTTACATAGATTTGTTACAAGCCCGAATTGAAATCGATTTTAAAACAGCCCCAAGGTTATTTCCTTTAGTGCATATATACACTCAAAAGGTTTGACTTTAAGTGTGATATTGTTTGTCCTTTCTAAATCAATTGATTTAAATTTATGTAAAATGCAACGTAAGATCCTAGGTTTGAACTTTGGGGTTGTAATCCCCTCATTTGACTGTCAACTGAACGTCAATTCAATTATTAAAAATAAATCAATAAATATAAAAAATAGTTTAAAAAAGAATTGAACCTCTAACTTCAACGTAAAAGACATGTTAATTAACAACCTTTGTTTCCTTATGTAGTTCTAAGTTTACAACTTCAGAAAAAACATTTATTCAAACTTTTAGAAAACAAAATCAACTTACAAAATCGTATCAACGAAAGCATCACCAGACAACGCCTTAGTAATCATTCTATCACCTTATATTTGAGTTCCATCACAAAGTTGAAAGCTTTATTGAATAAGGTACGATTTCAGCCGAAACAACAAAATCCGCACATAATACACAGCCTAAACCAAACACAACTTTCTAACTCAACAAAAAAAAAAGTAACTAATAC